CACACACACACACACACACGCACACTCACTTTTGTAAAGGGTATGATAACACATTCTTAATTGCACAGGCAAATCCTAAGTCAGAGCCAAACGTGTGTGTGTGTGTGTGTGTGTGTGTGTGTGTGTGTGTAACTGCTCTATAGATAGACGGCTCATCCAGTAATGCTTGATGTAAGCACATATCAACATGGCGTCTTTGTTTAGTGTGATTAATAAATTAAGCACAGGTGTAGCTTCAAGCATATTAGAATATTGTTTTTAATTGTTGCTCTATACTATTATAACATCTTACAGAACATCACTGGAACCTCCTGGGGTCAGTTTTAAGCTCCACAACAATGTAGAGACCTGCCTTTGGACATTTGAGCCATCTAAAATGTTAGGAACAAAATGGTATCAAATAATTTTTAAAAAGAAGGAACTTTTGTTTAAATGTATTATATTTTATGGTTAAATGAGAATAGAAAAAAAGAGGGAGGAGCCCACACATAAAGGAAAATGTGATGATCTGAATGATTTCTCAAACTAAACACTCATGACAAAGAACAAGAAATTAAAGAGCAGGCCACTTTTTTAAAATATTTCATATAAAATGCCATCCAAAAATACTATTTGAAATGGTTATTGTGGGTATTTTGTTTCACAACACATAATGGCCCCTTATTTTGAGTAAACAGTGGCCTTTTTCAGCAAGTCTTCTGAAAACACTGTATCGTCCAGCAATGGTCATTTTTCACCTACAGACTGACCTACATGCCACCGGTCATCTGAAGACATAAATTCCATTTTCTAAAGTGGATTATACATCCTAGCTTCCAACAAACCCAGCAGGATACTGCAGCCTTGTTGACATTTCAGGAGGAACAAGATGTCAGGCTGTGTTCCCAAACAAAGCCTTCTTTTGATAACACCGCAGGATTGCTCACTCTCTGAATAAAGTGACTATTTTCAGCTCATATGAGTTAATCAATCACAAAATGAAATGAATAATGGTTGATGAATAATAATAATGTCTTGATTAATCTGTGCTTAAATTAATAAGGTTGATTAATCTGTGCTTGAATTACTGAAGTTTGAAATGAATGTTATTATTACATCAAAAGATTTATATTTATGATGATCAGTAATGTTTGACATGACAAGTGAATCATTATCTACACTCAGACTCAAGGTTCATTAGAGATAAATTAAAGTTAAGTTAAACGTCATGATACATCCTGTATTTGAAAGAAGGCGTGATGTTCTGAGGTTTGCTTGTTAACACCCCTTAACATGGCACGTCCCGGTTGGCCAAAAAATCATAAATGAGAATATTAAAACAAAGCTCACTTGACGGTAAGTCAGTTGTAGAGGAAGCTACGGACAGGCTATCCGGAGCGAACCCTCTTTAACCCAGAGCATTTTTGACAAGCTGTCAAAAACCTGCTACATGCTTAAGCTGACACGGCAAACGGTTCCTGCAGAACAATGCTGATACTGTTCCGACTCCCTAACAGTCCTTCTAGACGCAAACGATTTAATCTATCTGTTGTGATCCGGGAGACGACTCTGGACCGACCTGGTCATACAGTGGTCTTTTCTACAAACTTTGGTACCTTAGGGTCACCCCCCCACCCCACCCCCCACCCCCATCTCGGATCTGAAAGGGAGTCTCTCCTCAGGGGTACGTAGAACACAACATGATTGCGTCTGGTCTGATGCCGTTTTGATAAGAACCAACTTCATAGTTGAATAAAAACCAAATTCCCTTTCACACCCATAACTCAGTTCTTCTAGATACAAGGTTCTGATAAACACACACCATTCAATCACCATACATCACATCCCATCCTCTTAGATTCGTCCATCACAGTAGCCTTGGTTAACTTGTCATGTTTTTACTTGTTTAGAAAATAAATTTCTTATCTTTTATAAACCTGACTCTGTCTGAATTGATACGAAGTGTGTGTGATCCCTGAAAAAGCAAAGAATCCTAGAATCTTCTGATTAAACATCCAAAGACCAAGCAGGTTGATATTCTATATTTATATAGACTATCACAGCTTATTGGTCATAAGTAAAGGTAATACACTGAGCTTAAAAGCAACAACATTTACCCTCTACAACACTTTAAAAAATCTTCACCGCTGACGTAACTACAGTAAGCAAGTCCTGCCTGAAGCTCAGCGTGGCAAGTAAGTAGTTTTCGGGTAGATAGGTCAAGTTATGAAGTCAGTGTGTGTGTACAGTCGCTTTGGATTGCGTTCATTTTTCTTAAAAATGGTTAATTATTGTGTTTGTGGAGGCTGTTCAAACTCCAGCATGTCCGGACATCGACTCCACGGGTTTTCAAATAAGAGAATGAGCGGCAGCGTTATCTGTTCCTGGTGCCTTTTGGGAAGCTGAAAAGACGATCGTTTGTGGTGCAATCCCAGCATTGTGATGGGAGTTCAACATGCCTCCTACCCTCCAGAGCCCTATGGCAGAGTGTTGAAAAATACCTGAGGCAGATCTTTTAGTTATCAGGCTCTTCTCTGTGGAACCAGCTCCTGTCTTACTTTTAAGATGTGACTTAACACTTTTTAATTTGATAGGGCTTATGGTTAAATTCTGATGATAACCCAGGTTTGGACGAGCAGAGGAGTAGAGAGTGGTGGCGTGTACACTGGGGTACAGCGGGGAGTTTGTGCTAAAGACGGTTCTCCTTGGCTGCTCCTGAAACAGGTTCTACCGAAGATTTATTCCTGTTGAAAGGGAGTTTCCCACTCCACTGTCGCCACATGCTTGCTTAGTATGAGGATTGCTGCAGTCTCTGACACAAGTCAGTGACTCAATGCAATCTACTGAGTTTCAAGTAGGTTCAGTTTTGATTCAAAGATTGAAAGATTTGCTTTGTAAAATGCTTTGAGACGACTCTTGTTGTGAATTGGTGCTATATAAATAAACTGAACTGAGTGGAATTTATACTTTCAGTGTTATTCTCATTCCGATTAATATCTGCTAAATAATACAGGAAGTTTACAAGTTTAGATAATAAAAAATGTAATTTTAACCTAAAAGAAACACAGATGGTGGAAGAGGAAAAATGAACAAGTAAACCATAAACATACTACAAAATCTCTAGATCGGGGGTCAGCAACCTGCAGCTCTTCCATCCATCTGATGCGGCTCTCTGTGCTTGTAAAATAATGAATGGATATTTAAATAAAATGCTTTATATTTTACTGCATTAATTTTACATCTGTATGCCAATTCTAAATGTAAAGATTGTCTGCGTAAACCTGAACAGGTCCAACCCGGTCTTACTGTGAGACCGGGTTGACGCGTCACGCTTGTGCGTAATCATAGGCGCATTCTGAGCTGAAGAGGATGTGAGATTCTGGGATTCTCCTCAGACGGCTCCTGGATGCGTCGCCACATTGGAGACAGGAACAAGCACAGTTCAGCCAAAGTTTCATAATCAGGGAACATTTTCTAAGTGACAAGTCTCGCTTCAGTCGGAGGAATCTTCCCGAATGCGCTCTGGTTCTGCGACGCGCTCCAAGCCCCTCTCCACATCTTCAGCTCGCTCTGCACCTTATGTAGTACACGCTGACAGCGAGTTGTGCTGAGCAGTGTCCAGCTCAGATGTTCAGAAGGAAATCTTTTCTTGAGTGATTTAGCTACATCTGCGATGTGCGTAGAATAAAATGTCAGTTCGTCTGCATGCGTCGGGGTAATTCTTTCTATTCTTTCTCCGTCAAAATAAACGGTCAAATACGGGAACTATCTGGTCAACACAAGCCCTGCTTTTAACTGTTCTGTTTTCTTGTGAAAATTGTTGCAAAGAGATATAATTAAACTTGATTAACACCAGAGCCAGGCGCACTGCGCCGTTATCTCCGTCACTGTAAATGAGGGAAAAACAAAATGATCGGATCCTTTTCTGACCTTCCCCACCTACAAAGTTTAATTTCAACAATCAAACGTGACAGAGCCTGGATTTGTATTCTGAGCAGTCTAAACATGTTTTAAAAAGAAACGTATGACAAAAGTGGCACCTGCTCATTAAAACCACCAAAAGGGTGAAAAATATCTAAATGTTGTCGGCAGAGATGGGCTACAACTTCTGGATCCACTTTATATAAATCGTTTTATTGATTATCTTCTTATGAAACATAACTTTGACTACATACACGAGTCACAAGCGACCGGTACCGGCTGCTGTCACCTGTTGTGATTGGTTAAAGCAGCTCTCTGCTGTCTGAGGGTAGGCCCCGCCCACAACGCCACGGCTGCTGTGGCTCCCAGTGTTTTCTTTACTGTGGGAAACAGGTAATAATGGCTCTTTGATGGGAACAGGTTGCCGACCCCTGCTCTAGATAGATGTAGTTCTAAAACATTTAACACAAATTAGGTTTTTGGAGAACATCTTATTGTTTTGTCTACTTTTAAACTCAAGATTGTTTTTTCTGTCCTACATTTAAAAGTTGATTTAGGATGAAAATAAGAATTTCTTAAATTCCCACAATAGCCAAATTAAAACCTTAATAACAACAATTGTTAAGACCTACATTTTAATTTAACAAGAAAAGTACAAACACAAAATGAACAGTTAAACAGAAATAACTGCTAATTAAATGTTGATCTGTTTTTTATGTTTAATCAGTGAAACATGTCATGACCCCCAATAACAATAATTATGAAAAAGTACCAAATGCAGCCTTTTCTGGAACTTATATCAACTTTTTTCCTCAGCATCATAGAAATATCGACCCTTCCTAAATGTGACCCTAATACACTGTTTTATATATTACCAGGAAGGGGGAATCAACTTTAGAAGTAAACAAATATGAATTAAAGAATGGACATGGAGCGCTGGAAACCAAAAGTTTTCTTGGAACTTCGGAGTCAGTAGATTTTCATTTGACCTCACGTACCTTTTTTATTTCACCATTACTCATATTTCCCTGAAGCACCTCTCACTCTGCTAACCTGTTGATCCAACTAATGTTTCCACGCGCGCGAGGCTTCCAGTGACGCAGCCACGCGCCTTCCCGCAGGAGGGTGTGGGGCGCGAGCCTTCATATTTCTCTGACGTGAGACAGAAAGTGTCAGAAGAGCCTGAAGTATTCAAAACACACTCACTCACTCACTCACTCACTCACACACGCATAAAGAGGAAACAGCAGCCAGAGAGAAGGAGATGAAGGCATTCCGGAGCCTGAGCCAGCCTGCGCGGCGCTTCGCCCTCAGCGGCCTGCAGAGCTTCAGCAGCAGCGCCATGAGTCCCCTCAGCACGGCCAGCATCAGCCTCGCGACCCTGCTCATCCTCACCACACCAGCCTGTACCGGTACGTCTGGGCAGGGTTTAGTCAGGGCATGCACCCATTATTCTGTTTATAGACCTGTTTCTTATTATTTGTAGAAGCTTTAGAAACTTTTAATTGGATCTACATAAAGTATATCTATCTATCTATCTATCTATCTATCTATCTATCTATCTATCTATCTATCTATCTATCTATCTATCTATCTATCTATCTATCTATCTATCTTTCTATCTATCTATCTATCTATCTATCTATCTATCTATCTATCTATCTATCTATCTATCTATCTATCTATCTATCTATCTATCATATTAAATGCAGAATTCTATATTTTTTCATAATATAATTCAAAAAGTATTTTTATTTATTTTGGTGTCCATCCATCCGTCTGACCTGATGTGATTTCCTAAGACTCACACATGTAAATGACTGAAAGGACTGCAGATGTAGGCTGACTGGTGCTTTTCCCCTCTGTGTCGATGGGCGTTTTGAGATAATTTCCAATAATTATGTTGTGTTCACCACAAACTTTCACAAACTGTGTGTTCTTTGACTCATGATTTTCAGCAGTACAATAGTTTAATTTTTTTAATTGATGTTCCTTTTCATATCAGATGTAATTTTACATCTCGCGTTGGGCTCTAACTCCCTCTGTGTTTGACACCAAAGCTCTTAACCTGCTAATGGACGCTGGCCGCAATCATGTGGGAAACATATGAGAAATGCTTTGGATTATTACCACACTAAACGTTGCTTCAACCGCTCCACAATGCATTATTTAACTCTTTCAACAAATGTTTACGACCATGCTGGGATGAAATCAATACGTTTTTTGAGCATTACTGAAAACAGGCATGTCAGTTGTAAGTGTTAACGGTGAGTTTTTGTGTTGTTGGATGAAATCAAAGGTGCTCCAGCAGATCTCCAACAGGCCACAATAGATCATAGGCAGCTACTCCGCCAGGTACTGCTGCATTCTGATTCATACCATGCATTTATGTTTGCTTCTCCTTCACCATCGCCTGTGCTCTTCCATAGATAGATGCTGTGTGCTCATCCTACCTCTCTGCAGATTTGAAGTTGTTAGTAAGTTAGAAAACATAAAACAAATTAGCTCAAATTTTAATATAAATATGACACATTTACTCAACTTTTTATCATTTTTTTAACGATTTCCTGTTTATTTTTCAGACATCTGACATCTTAGGAGATCTCTGTGTCTTGATGCTGGTTCAAAAGACAAAGGTTCCTCTCATTTCACTCTAAATGAGCTTTTTCTCTGCTAATTCTGGAGATTCTAATTGAAATTTGTTGTTGGTTTTCAGGAGCTGAGAGTTCAAGAAAACAATAAAAGGGTAAGTGAAAATATGTCTTCAATGTGCTTTTTCATAAATAAATAAATGAAAAAAGCAAACGTGTGCCTCAGGATTAAATTGAATTTGTAACTTATTAGTTATGTGAGAGTTTATTTTCTGTTGTATGTGCAGTTTTTATTTCATCACTCCAGACCACAAAGTTCTGTCTTGTCAAAGGGGGTAAGTGAAAAGATCAAACCACAGAAAACTGCTCTATTTGTTGCCACCTCACTTTTTTTATGCTTCCGTATCTGAGACCTGCTCTCTCTGTGTGGGCCACATGAACTGATGCAGCTGCAGCAGCAGCAGCAGCGTTGAGCATCTGCATGCAGTTCCCCAAACCTAAATGCATGCAGGCAAAAATGAAAACAGCTAAAACATGCATGGTGGCAAATACTCGGATACATGCACAGATGCTCCTGTCACATGGCTTATTTCTTTTTGTCGAACGTTTTATTTGTGGAGACGACAGCATGGCTACAAATCTTGTTGCCCCTGTTCTTGACAAAGAGCAAATGTCAATTTTCAGATGAGACGTCTCAACAGATGTGGCATTTACACCCTTTACGTCTTATGTTAATTAAAAATTTCAATATTTTAATTGTTAAACCAATTAATTAAATTATAGACAAATAAGCAAAAAAATAAATATGTAGTTCATCATAGAATGCATGCCTATCATTTTTAAACATTTAAACGAAATAGCCTTTTAGTTTGGGCTACAGTAGAACCTCTACTACATCTGTTGTTGTTTTCATGTAAAAAGGGAAATCTGAAACAAGTAATCCATATTCAGATCTTAATATTGAGGCAAAGAAAGCTTTGGAAACAAAAGGTGAAAATTGATTTCAAAGACTTTCCGTGTCTGATGTTGTTGCATCCTCTCAATCTAACAAACTTGAACATTTATTAAATGTAAAGAAACAGGAACTACAAAGAAATATAAATATATGTAAAAATAAAAATGTAAAAATGAATAAAACATCTTAAACTACTCTCATCACTAAAAGTTGTTTATTAAAATGAAAGGAATGAATTTAGTTTGTACGTTTTTAAGCCTTTTAGGACTCTTCAGGTGGATTTGTCGCTTGTTTCAGTTCAGTTTACAGTTTCAACCGAGATTTATTTGTTTTGCAAAACCTGAAAACTACTCGGATGATTGAACTGCACCTCTGGACCCAGTCTGGTCCTCCATAAGGATGAAGAATAAAACAATGTGCCATGTGTTTGTTAAAATATATTACATAAAAGCAGAAAGAGACATTTAACTGTAGTGAGGATGCATTTGTGTGTTGCACGTTTTCTTCGTTTGTATAGGAGAGCGAAGCGACATCCCTCTCTTTGCCTCTGTACCTCCATGTTGTGTTCTTTCTTTGCCCATTGTTGATCTTTGTGTGTGTGTGTGTGTGTGTGTGTGTGTGTGTGTGTGTGTGTGTGTGTGTGTGTGTGTGTGTGTGTGTGTCAGACATCTCAGTTGCACCCTCTTCTGCATCTCGTTTCTCAACTCCATACCAGAAGAGAGAGAGGGCTCTTCATGCACGTATGTACCACTCCCATCATGTCTTTCATTTCTCTTCATTTTAATCATCTTTTCACAATCACTGTTGAACTAAACACATTAATAAAAAGAAATTGTTCTTTTGCATGTAAAAAAAACTGAATGCAGCTGGTGGCTCAGACAGTCATAAATAAATGTCTGTTTAGTTAGATTTTTTTCAGTGCATTTCCTTATGACAGCTGTGCAGACCTGCTGCCCTAAACGATGCATCTGGACATTTAACAGGATTCGAGGACGCCATACAAAGAGCTGCCTTCTGTGCAAACGATTACGAGAAATATATGTGCTTCATCCTGCAGCTGGCTTAAACATGTTTTTCCGTCCTCAGATCACGACGGTAACGCTGTTCGACTTCACTCCACATTAGTTGTATTTCCAAGCTGAGGGTAATTATGGTTCTAACATTAATGCTGCTGGAAGGTGAACTCATGCTTCCTAACCAGCAAACCAACAGAAAAGTGTGAAAATGGTTTGTTTTGAAGAATCCACACAGTTTAGTGGAGTGTGCACTGTTGCATTTGTAGGAATGGGGAGTTGCTCTCGTTTGGAACAAACGTTTGAAATTAGAAATTAGGAACGTGATGCTCGTTTGAGAGGAATGTTGAATCCTGCTGCTTTTTGTGTCCACACAGGCGGACCTCCAGGGGCCCAGAGGCATTGAGAGCAGAGGCTACTTCCTCTACCGGGTATGTGAATGTTTATATCAAATGAAATGAACAGTTGTCCTATATAACAACGCTTTAAATCAAATGTTTATTTTTGTAGCCACGAAATGGAAGGTCTTTAGAGTATGAATGAAGGAAAGGTACTCATCCACAATTATTTTTGCCAACATCAAAAAAAAACACATAAAACATTTTTAGATTGTATAATCCTCTGTACTTATATTGATAATTTATGTTTACTGTTATTGCTAGACTCTCCACCTGTGCACGTGCAGAGACGACACAGAGCCTGAGACGCTGCACCCAGACCAAGTGATCCAAAGTCTAACTACAGCCCTTTTCCACTCCTGTATAATCATGTTTGAGTCAGCACATTGTACATCAAATAAAATACTCATTTACCCATAATCAGTCATGTGTGAGTTATTCAAAAGCATTATGTAGACTCAGTTTGATTTACAGTTCATTAGATACTTTCCAGGGTAAAACCAGGAATAAAGAAGATGCAGTTCATAAAATAAGTATTTATACTTTTATGAGTAAGCTTGTTTATTTATTTCTGTTTGTTTGTTTATACATTTTGTAGGATTGTGCAAGATTGTTAAAACATGCTATTAATATTACGGCCGGTAGATGCCGCTATGCTCCCAAAGATAATGATGTGAGGCAGAAGTTCTGATAAAAGTCGTGACAAATTTATATCAAGATGAATGTGAATTTATAGTAGAGAAATGGTAAGCCAACAACTTCTAATGTACTGAAACTAGGCTTTATTCTATTTGAAAAGAACACATTATTTCTGGAAGAGAGAATCTTAACTTTGCCTAATCATGAAAATGTAATTAGTTCTAGTTCAGTCCACAACAGCGGTAGTCTTTCAGAGATACAAAGTGAATCTAAAAATGTACTTTTAGTTGCATATTTACATAAATATTTGACGGATAAAATGTGACCTCACCTCAAAAACAATTAAAATTTTATTTTCATTTTAATGTCAGTTAAGAGTAGAAAGAGTCACCGCTCATCTGGGTAAGGTGCTGGATCAAAAGTGGAATGAACATAAGAATCCGAACACTTCAGTCTGCGATGTGAGAGCTTTATTAGTCGAGCTTTCGGTTCCTGATGAAGGTCTCTGACCGAAAGCTCGACTAATAAAGCTCTCACATCGCAGATTGAAGTGTTCGGATTCTTATCTTGTTCATTTAAATGTCAGTTCAAAAATCTGACATTTGTCTAAAATTTCTGTAAAAAACGTCCTCAGCAGTGCTACAGGCTCAACTCTCAACAATATCAATGGTTGACATTACAATGTGACTCATATTACACGTGAAAATAAATAGATTTGCTGATTGTTTAGAAATAAACCCCATTAAATATATTACCATGATTACCATCTGTGTGTTCATGTTAACAACCTCATCATGAGTGTATAAACTAAATAATAAATATAAACTAAATTCTAAATGAATTGGCTCTATAAATCAATGTTCTAGCAAAATTTTTATTTGGATACTTTTTTTTGTGTAGCGCTGGGTTGCAAGGAGTACAACAGCGCCTCATGTGGCTCAAAATGGTGGCGCAGCTTTCGCACAGCTTTATCTGTTGCTATGGTGATGGGTATCACGCTGTGAGGGGATAAACGTCAGGCAAGTCCGCTACATTATAGTCACATGCGTGTTTCTCTAATTGGAAACATGTCTAAACATATTTAGTTTGAATTCCAAAATCTTATATAAATATTTTCAATTAAAAAAACATTTTATTCGAGTTCACTTCCTGTCAAACCAATGTAATTTAGAATAAACCTAATAGCAAAACTTTATCATAAATGTATTTTCAGAAAAACAGAAGAAAAAACTGACTTCAAATTCATCGAGGCACATTCACAAATTAAGAAACTATTAATCGCCCACACTGAGTGACTTTATCAAAGTTTTTAAATGGAAAACACGAATGTGCGTAGTTTTATTGAACCATACGTAGAGTAGCGCTCTGTAACCGCTGTTGGTGTGATCCGGAGGACAGCGGCAGGCCGGGCCAGCCCCGCAGCGCTCAGTCCTCCGTCAGCAGCGCCACTGCCGGCTGTGCGAGACGAGTCCCCTTATGAAAGAGAGCACTACGCGGGGGTAAGTCACATCTCCACCACTAAAACTCCTGTGCGAGTATCTACGCTTTTATCGAAAAGCCTGTGTGTGTTGTTGTCATCCTTTGGGGAGGAAGAAAAATCACTTTGTGCTGGTTTAGTGACACAGACCGGTTAAAGGCCCGGTGACCCACATTATTATCTAATACTGCACGTTAGCCAGCTAGCTTCGGCTAAAACTAGGTTGACTTAGCCTCTAAACGAGTTTATGTCGCGCTCTGTTTGTTTTAAAGTGTGTTTTTGTTAGTGGGAAAATAGCAGCCTGTATTTCGTCGCGTGCTGGGACCTGTTAAATATGTGTTACTTTTGTTGTCATTTGCGTTAGCAGGTAAGCTAGGTGGCAAGTTGCCGGCCGGTGTTGCGTCGAAATGTTTTCCCTCTTTAAAAGCGGTCTCCCTTTGCCTAGATTTTTGTGCGTGTGAGCATGTTTGGCCTTTTAATATGTGCACGTTTTGGTGCAGAAGGGTAAAAATCCCAGCATTTGTTATTCCTGTAATAAATTAATTGTAAGTTTTTGACAAAATAAAGATTTTATATTCATGCTGAACCCAATCTATGCCACCGGATGTTTTACAACTTCTAACTTGTTTTCCAACTTAAATTGTAAAATAAAAAAAAAACAACAACACAAATGTATTGTTTATCAGTTTTATTACTAGATTTGCGTTAAACAACATGAGTAGTAGAGGAAAAAATGACGCGAAGCTGTCAAGTAAACTGGTTTGAACGGGTAACAAATTTTGACATAACATCGGCATTAAAACTTGAAGACTTACAGGCGTTATGTTGCTTCACACATCTGTAGATACAAGCGTTCAGATTTATTTACATAAAACAAAAACACAGGGCGGCAGCTTTTCTGTCTCTTCTCATCAGGACTTGACTTGTTCATTTGCCATTCTAGATTTTATGCAGTATCCAGTTTGTTTGCTGATTTAATCAAGAGATCAATGATCTATTTCACTGCTTTCTCTTTACTCTCCTCAAAAGAAAAGATGAAGGTATCCACTAACAGCATTACTAGCAGAGAAATCACTTTGCCACACAGGCTTGTTTGTGCCAGACTGACCTTTTTTCTGAGGACAAAGTGGATTTTTTAGACACAACAAGTCTAACATTTTATCAACAATTATTTTTTGCATGACCCTACTGGTAAAAAAACAAAACAACGTTCCATTACACAAAACATACTTATGTGTTTTAGTTTCTTGTGTGTTGTACAACATGAGCTGCAAGCAAATTAAATGATAAACTGGTCTTTTGGAACAGACTGGACATGAATACATTTTGCTCAGTTTTCTAACTTTTAATTTGAATTTATTCAGAGCTAATTTTCAGTTTTATCAATGAATTTTTTCAACAAATGATCTGTCATATAATGAACGGTTCTGCAGAAGTTTTGCAAAATGATTAGCTTGGAAAAACTTTTAGCAAAATCAGCATTAAAATAAATTACATTAAAATGATAAACTCACGGAAAATGTTTAACATTTGGCATGTAATAAATAAGATTAAGCAGGTGTGTATTTATTGCAAACTAAAGTTCAGAATATTGTTCTGCAGTCTGAAAAGTTCTGAAACAACTCCTTATTTTGTTAATCTTTGCTTCTCAGGGGCCATACCTTGTTGTTGAAAACGCTTTCACTCATTTCTGTTCAGCTCCTGTACCTGACTCTTTAAATATTTGAAAAGTGAGGAGGGTTAAAAGAAAACGTGCCAAGCTGAAAAACGGCAAAAGAACTGTATCAGAAAATCATGGTAAATGGCCTGTATTTCATATAGCCCCTTCTAGAGTCCCGGAACCCCAAAAGGTGCATTACAACACAATCAGTCATTCACTCATTCACACAGTGGTAGTGATGAGCTACAATGTAGCCACAGCTGCCCTGGGGGCCATCTGACAGGCGAGGCTGCCATACACAGGTGCCACCAGTCCCTCCGACCACCACCAGCAGGTGGGCGGTTAAGTTTCTTGAGAATGCTACGACAAACACACAGAGATTGGAGCTAGAAGACGATCCACATATTTCATCAATAGATCCACCTGAAACTGGTAGAACCTTCGTGCCATCCTGGATCACTACAAACAACAAGCTAGCGAGCGACTGCACTACCACCCCAGTCAGTCAGGAAAAGAGTTATTTTGGTAAGCTATCGATTAAAATATTTCTGGAGTTATATCAATATGTACATGCAGAGGTAAAACTGGTAACACATAGTTTTATTTTTCTGTAGATTACTGAATCATATTGAGACAGTATGATGGAGCTAAGACCTATAGTCAGCTGAGAGTTCCTGCTGGAAACACTACGAGCACAGAAATTAAATATTCAATAAAAGTAAAAGAATTGTACTGATTTTGGTTCTGAAGACATTCAGCATCCTCCCTGGTGTCCAGGATTTTGTAGCTGTGGCGCTGGAATTTCAGGCTGAGCCTATATAGGGAGAACACTGATTCAATTAAATTCAATTAAAGTTTATTTATCAAGCGCCAAATCACGACGAGTCGTCTCAAGGCACTTCATAGTAAACATTCCAATCCAGGTCAGTTCATTAAGCCGATCAGAAAAAAAGTTTCCTATTTAAGGAACCCAGCAAATTGCATCAAGTCACTGACTACTGACTAGTGTCAGTGACTTTACAGCAATCTTCATACTAAGCAAGCATTTAGCGACTGTGGAGAGGAAAACTCCCTTTTAACAGTAAGAAACCTCCAGAGAATCCTGGTTCTCACACACACACACACACACACACACACACACACACACACACACACACACACACACACACACACACACACACACACACACACACACACACACACACACACACAAATGTTTCTATGGTTCTATTGTGATTTCTTAGTGAATATTCTATTTGGTGAGAGATAAACTTTATTGTATTTATCCTAGTGAATCCATATTTAAACGGGTAAACTAGTAGTAGCACATTCAATGTCAAAGAAAGTAAAATGTTATTATCAGGAGAGGGAGAATGTTTAAGTGGTTAGCAACAGTGTTCAAGCTGATGGCCTCCACCATGAGCAGAACATCGTTGTAGCTTCTTCTGGGGAGAAAAACACTTGGAGAAAAAAATGAAGTTAACAGCTGAAATAGCAGAAAGTAATACAGTTAAAGAGCGGGTAGTAGAAGAAAGCAGTAGAGTGTGAAAAGTTGTCAGTATGTCCTCCAGCAGTCTAAGCCTATAGCAGCATAACTACAGAGATAACTCTGGATAAACTATCCTTTTAGATGGAGGCATGTTGGAGTCAGGGCAAGGGAGAGCCATCTTTACCGACTGTACACTCCACCTCCCTCTACTCCCCCACTTGTCCAGATTTAGGCTAACATCAGATTTTAACCATAGGCCCTATCAAATAAAAATGTTTTCAGCCTAGCCTTAAAAGTAGACAAGGTGTCTGCCTCACGGACTAAAGCTGGGAGCTGGTTCCACAAGAGAGGAGCCTGATAACTAAAAGATCTGCCTCCCATCCTAATTTTAGATATTCTGGGAACCACCAGTAGACCTGCAGTCTGAGAGCGAAGTGCTCGGTTAGGAACATATGGAACAATCAGATCACTGATGTATGATGGAGCTTGATTATTAAGAGCTTTATATGTGAGAAGAAGGATCTTAAAATCTATTCTGAATTTAACAGGTAGCCAATATAGGGAAGCTAAGACAGGAGAGATATGATCTCTCTTTTTAATTCTCATCAGAACTCTAGCTGCAGCATTTTGGACAAGCTGAAGACTTTTAACTAGATTCTGTGGACTTCCTGAGAGTAATGAATTACAGTAATCCAGTCTTGATGTAATAAATGCATGAACTAGTTTTTCAGCATCACTCCTGGAAAGTATGCTTCTAATCTTAGCAATATTCCGAAGGTGGAAAAAGGAAATCCGACAAACTTGTGAAACCTGGGATTTGAATGACATGTCCTGGTCAAAGATAACACCAAGGTTCCTTACTTTGTTCTCAGAGATTAATGTAATGCCATTCAGGTCAGGTGATTGGCTAAACAATTTCCTTTTCTGGATTTCTGAATCCAAAGATGAGAACTTCAGTCTTGTCTTGAGTTAAAAAGTTTAGAGTCATCCAATTTTTTATGTCCTCAAGACAAGCCTGTAATGTACCCAACCGATTAGGTTCATCAGGGTTAATGGATAAATATAGCTGAGTATCGTCAGCATAACAGTGGAAGTTTATCCCATGCTGTCTAATGATTTTACCAATTGGGAGCATATATATAGTAAAAAGAATTGGTCCAAGCACTGAACCCTGTGGTACTCCACAAGTAACCCTGGAGTATGAAGAAGATTTGTCATGTACGTTTACAAAATGAAATCTGTCAGACAGGTAGGATTTAAACCAGCCTAGCGCTGTTCCTTTGATCCCTACAACATGTTCAAGTCTTTCTAAAAGAACATTGTGATCAACTGTGTCAAAGGCAGCACTGAGATCTAACAAGACTAGAACAGACACACGATTCTTATCTGAGGCCATGAGAATATTATTTGTAACTCTCACTAATGCAGTTTCAGTGCTGTGATACTCTCTAAAACCAGACTGAAATTCCTCAAACAGAGCATTAGTGTTTAAATGCTGACATACTTGGATGGCCACTATTTTCTCCAGGACTTTGGATAAAAATGGAAGGTTAGATATTGGTCTATAATTCATTGGGTCATCTGGATCCAGAGAAGGCTTCTTAAGTGAAGGTTGTGGGTATCGATCCATTTACTTACCGCTTAGACTACTGTAACTCTCTTTTCACGTGTCTAAGCAAAACCTCCCTGAACCGTCTACAGGTGGTTCAGAACGCCTTTGCTCGGCTTCTGACCAAGTCCTCCAAACACACCCACATCACCCCGCTTCTCCTCCAGCTTCATTGGTTGTAAGATCCTGGTTCTGGTCGATAGGGCCTTACATGGACTAGCACCATCACACACTGGTGATCTTCTTAGTCCCCCCTCTCTCCCT